CCACGCCGGCAGGCCGCTGGGCCTGCTTCACTGGTCGGTCGCAGGTCTGCCCACCTTGCAGGCGCGGGCGGCGGCTCTGCTCCGCCACTCCTCCAATTGGGGCGAGGTGTCTACCACGCCGGCAGGCCGCTGGGCCTGCTCCGCTGGTCGGTTCCAGGTCTGCCCACCTTGCAGGTGCGGGAGGCGGCTCTGCTCCGCCACTCCTCCAATTGGGGCGATGTGTCTACCACGCCTGCAGGCCACTGGGCCTGCTCCGCTGGTCGGTCGCAGGTCTGCCCACCTTGCAGGCGCGTGCAGTGGCTTTGCTCCGCACCTCCTCCAATTGGGGCGATGTGTCTACCATGCTGGCAGGCTGCTGGGCCTGCTCCGCTGGTCGGTCGCATGTCTGCCCACCTTGCAGGCGCGTGCAGTGGCTTTGCTCCGCACCTCCTCCAATTGGGGCGATGTGTCTACCACGTTGGCAGGCTGCTGGGCCTGTTCCGCTGGTCGGTCGCAGGTCTGCCTACCTTGCAGGCGCAGGCGTCGGCTCTGCTCAGCCCCCCTCCAATTGGGGTGATGTGTCTACCACGCTGGAGGGCCGCTGGGCCTGCTGTGCCGGTTGGGCGCAGGTCTGCCCACCTTGCAGGCGCGGGAGGCGGTTCTGCTCCGCCCCTCCTCCAATTGGGGCGATGTGTCTACCACGCCAGCAGGCCGCTGGGCCCGCTCCGCTGGTCGGTCGCAGGTCTGCCTCTCTTTCTTGTGTTTTATAGAAAAAAATCTCTTTCCAATTACATGCTAAAATTGTATAGTGTATAGCAATTACAAATAGGTGCAACTGTTAGAGAAGAACAAAACCACTGCAGAGAGAAGTAAAAGATTTGTTGGAAATATGACTATAGTAGGAGTAATGGTAAAAAAAAAAATATTAACTCCCACATTTTACAGTTAGACTGACATTCTTTCCCCAGGTACTTAAAACAGGACTTTAACAGTGGGATTTATAGATAATTCCTGAGGTTTGTTTAGTTGTTGTTCCCAGTCTCTTTCCTAGATTGACAGAGACCTTCATAAGAACAGCTTTCAAACATCTGTATTGGATAATTTAGTTTCAGAACCTTTACCTTCGGTTCCAAAATGACTACAAAGACACAGCAGTGACCAAACAATGGAGGGGTATCTTTTGGGTAGGGGTGGTATACATATCCTGATTGTGGAGTCATCATGGAGAGTTGATTTGTTTTTAACAAGAACATACAGAAACAAAATACAGTATTGGATATGTACTCCAACCCCCTTCAGGCCTGGAATAATTATTCATCTTTTGGCATCCAAGTTTCTATGAGTTATGTTTCCGAACAGTATCAAGACTTCATGAACTTAGGTTGAAACTGTCTCATTTCTTAGTGTAATAGTTTCCTTAAGTGCACTGCCTGCTGTATAATGAAACCTTCCCAAAGGGTCTTTTGTACTTAAAGGCATGTGTTCTCTAAGGCTTAGTTCCAGAATTTGGAGGGATAAGGCAGGTCTTCCCTCTTGATGCAGCATAATGTAATGTCCTCTTTCTCCTCCACTCTTTTGAATAAAGGGACATTTTCTTTTCTTTCTGATGGGTTTCTACGAGGAGTCAAGCTCATTTCCTTTAATGAAAGGTACTCTCACAGAATTGGTAATCTATACAGTTTTACAGAGGCAGAATCTTGTTTTTCTTTCATTTTGTAATTTGTTCAAATTAATTATACATGACAGTAGAATGTATTTTGATACATTGTACACAAATGGAGCGCAACTTCTCCTTCATCTGGCTGAACATGGTGCAGAGTCACACCGGTAGTGTAATCATACATATATACAGAGTAATCATGTCCCTCTCATTCCATTGTCCTTCCCATACCTACACCTACTTCCCTTCCCTCACTCCCCTCTGCACAATCCGAAGTTCCTTCATTCTTCCCTACTTACCCCCATTATGGATCAGCATCTACTTACCAGAGAAAACATTCAGCCTTTGCTTTTTTGGAGTTTGGCTTATTTTGCTTAGCATGATATTCTCCAGCTGCATCCATTTACCTAAAAATGCCATAATTTCATTCTTCTTTAAGACTGAGTAATACTCCATTGTGTATATGTACCACATTTTCTTTATCCATTCATCTGTTGAAGGACATCTGGGTTGGTTCCCATAGTTTAGCTATTATGAATTGAGCTGCTATAAGCATTGATGTGGCTGTGTCACTGTAGTATGCTGATTTTAAGTCCTTTGGGTCTAAACCTATGAGTGGGATAACAGGGTCAAATGGTGGTTCCATTCCAAGTTTTCTGAGGTATCCCCACACTGTTTTCTATAGTGGTTTCACCAATTTGAAGTCCCACCAGCAATGTATCAATGTATCTTTTCCCCCACATCCTCACCAACACTTATTGTTGCTTGTATTCTTGATAATTGCCATTATGACTGGAATGAGGTGAAATCTTAGAGTAGTTTTGATTTGCATTTCTCTAATAACTAGAGATGATAAACATTTTTTCATATGTTTGTTGATTGGTTGTAGTTCTTCTTCTAGGAAGTGTCTGTTCAGTTCCTTAGCCCATTTATTGATTGGGTTATTTGTTTTTTTGGTGTTAAGTTTTTTGAGTTCTTGATATATCTTGGATATTAGTGCTCTGAGGTGTCTGTAGTAAAGATTTTCTCCCATTCTGTAGGTTCTCTTTTCACATTATTGATTGTTTCCTTTGCTGAGAAGAAGCTTTTTAGTTTGAATCCATCCCATTTGTTTATTCTTGATTTTACTTCTTGTGCTTTAGGAGTCCTGTTAAGGAAGTCAGTTCTTAAACCAACATGGTGGAGATTGGGGCCTACTTTTTCTTCTATTACTCTGTTCTAGTGCCTAAGTCTTGATCCACTTTGAGTTTGTAGGGTGAGAGAGAGAGGCTTAATTTCATTTTGCTATATGGACTTCCAGTTTTCCCAGCACATTTTCTTAATAGGCTGTCTTTTCTCCAATATATGTTTTGGGCACTTTTTCTAGTGTGAGATAACTGTATTTATGTGTGTTTTTCTCTGTGTCTTCTGTTCTATACCATTGGTTATATGTCTGTTTTGGTGCCAATACCATGCCATTTTTGTTACTTTTGCTCTGTAGTATAGTTTAAGATTTGGTATTGTGATGCAGTCTGCTTTATTCTTCTTGCTAAGGATTGCTTTGGCTATTCTGGATCTCTTATTTTTCAAATGAATTTTGTGATTGCTTTTTCTAGCTCTATGAAGCATCTCCTTGGGATTTTAATAGGAATTATATTAAGTCTATGTAATGCTTTTGGTAGTATGGCCATTTTGACATTAATTCTGCTTATCCAAGAGCTTTGAAGAGCTTTCTGTCTTCTAAGGTCTTCTTTAATTTCTTTCATTCATGTTCTGTAGTTTAAATTGTAGAGGTCTTTTACCTCTTTTGTTAGGTTTATTTTATTTTATTTTTTTGAGGCTATTGTGAATGGGGTAGTTTTCCTAATTTCTCTTGCAGTAGATTCATCACTGATATATAGAAATGCATTTGATTTATGGGTATTTATTTTATATCCTCAGAGGCATAATCTTATAGCAAGATTTATTCTTTATTAGTGAGATATTTCTGTATTTCAATCTTAATTGTGTATTTTCAAAAACAGTGTCAACTGGGGATAATTAATAAAGTCACATTAGTAGAGTTCATCATAGAAGTGCTATCTCCCTAAACTCTCCATTTGAGTTAGGGGCCTTTTGTTTAGAGGCTAGATAGATAAACATTAACTTAAGCTGACAGCTAGCAGGACAGAAAATAGGTAGAGGAAGAGGCAAGGGCACTAGTTAATACTAAAAAGTATGAGGTGCATTTATATACAGCCGCCAGGCAATCCATTCTCTTCTTTCCTCCTTTGCAACAATGAAAAGCTTCATAATGAATTTACCTGATTTACAGATGAAGATGCCAAAACTCACAAAGAGGTTATGTTTTCATAACTGCAAACGCCTGACAAATCCGGGATTCAAACCCATAATTTTCTGATTCTGAATATTTTATCCCATCCCAGTGTCGGTAATTGGGAAGTGCCAGGATTTATGCATTTTCCTCAAGGAGGAGTGTTCACTGCAAATATTTCTTTTAATATACAAAGTACATTAAAAGAGATAACTGTTTGCTGGCTTTTAGATTGCTATCTCCTTTGTTATTTTGATCTCAAAATCATATTGTGTTAATACTGAAGAGTATCTTAAAATTTCAGCTGCCTGATTGTGGATAAAGGAGCTGAGGTTCAGGCAGGACTGAAGGCTTATTCAGTATTTCCCAGCTGGTAGTGGCAGTGTTGGAGCCAGGAAGGACATCCATTCTGTGTTACTTCTCCTGTGTTCAGAGTATACTCTAGGTAATGATTTTACCTTTTTAGGGCTATAGGCCATTTATTTGCCCTCTAGCCCAAATATTAATAAGATACACATTGTTTTCTTGCCTTTAATGCAATTTTACATTTATATACAAAATCTTATTTTATATTCTAAAATGTGTATCTGTATTCACTCATGTGTTGGCAAATTTGTGAAGGAATACTAGAAGAGCTTAAAATTGCTATTAATTTATAGGGTGAAAAGCTATAAAAAAACAAAACTAGCTATGACTAGAATTCAACATAAAAATTACAGTACTTACTATATAAGGAATAGACTCTATCTTTAAATCAAGACAAAATAAGTAAAATATTTACATTTTAAATAATCTGAAAAAGTAAAAAAAATAATAATCTAAAAAAGTGAAAGCCATTTAAAGGTATATAACATTTTCAATGTTTGAATTATGTGAATAGATTTCCAGCTTCATTTAATCAATTAAATATTTTATTTTTATTACATACGTATTCACAATTTTCTAATCTTGGAATATTGAAGTACATATTAATCTAACTGTGAACCACAGAATTAATTACAATAAAATGCTCTTTGACTTGTTTATCAAACTGTAATTATTAACATTTTATCTCTCTGAAAATATCCACCAAAAGTATAATTTAGTATTTGTCAGCTTCTTAACTGTTTCTTTCTTTCTTTTTTTTCTTAAAGTGAAATATGTAGAATTTTTAAAATGAATGATTTTTGTTTTTCCAAAATGCACACTGTCTTTATTGGGGTGGGGGGGTACGAAGGCAGACATGCTGTCTCCAGAAACACTTGAAGTTTTCGTATCACCCATTTTCCTCTCCTTCCAACTCCTGGAAAATGGCTATATGTTCCCAGCTAAGGAAGCTGAGGAATAAAGGAAGAATTTGGATGACATTCTTGGTACTTTGAGCACTCCTGCAGTGTCATAAAGTAAGGCTACTCTCCATATGAGATAGCAGACTAAACTCAATGACATGAAATCCATTTTCTCACTTCATAAATATGTCCTGTCTTGGATTGCTTGCTACTCCTAAATTTGCTCACTCAGTTGTGACTTCATTCAAAAAGATGCCTTTATCCCTGATCTTCTCAGTGGTGCATCTAGATTTGGAAAATTTTCTCAGCTATTGACATATTTGATGCTGTGATTTCAAAATTCATTGGTTAATGCTTTAATAGAGGAATAAGACAGATTGAGAAAGCAGGTATTTAACTTTAAAATATATGCTGTAAAGTGTAGGTAATAGTTGGTACCCCACCCCCTACTTCCCTGATATTTCTATTGTTCATGTAGTTTGTTAGGTAGTTAATGGCACTTCTTACAACTTGAATTTCCTGTGTTCTGCTGTGTTGGATTTCCTATGAATAAAGCAAACAAAAATCTCCTGGGCATAAAAGAAAGCTCTTCCTCTTTAAATAGCAGACAGAAAATGTGGGGCTTTTTCCCTTGGATTTGTATTTCCATGTGTAATTACTAAATTTGTCTGTAGGAGAAAGGAATCCAGATTTTTCTGTTACCTTCTTAAAGACACATGCAGATTGCCACACAGTGCACGTGGCACTTATCTACGGCCGGGGCTTACAGTTTTGTGAGAATTAGGTGAGCATATGGCCACTTCTTTTGCTGAATGCCAGTCCCAGAGCAATTGCTTCAGCTGGAGAAGCGGGAGGAGGAGCCTCTTTTGCTCACTGCAGCGAGTCCCCTTCTTTCTCTGGGCTGTGTATATTGGTTCTTCCAGCTCCAAGCCGCTCCTCAGTGTGGAATAGGCAGGGTGTGCTCGCAGACCGTGGTGTAGCTGCAGTTTCTATTTGGGGTGCCCACGGAAAGGAACACCAGGAAAGAAAGCCAGTGCCATGGGCCAGCTTTGCTGCTTTCCTTTCTCAAGAGACGAGGGGAAAATCTGTAAGTGCAATTTGTACTGTGCAGAATCCTTGGTGCCTGACTATTTTGTGTTTGCTTTCTCGGGTACTTTTGATTTTTGTTATGGGAAAGATAGAATAATCAGCTGTGGTTTTTAAATATGCATTTTTAATGACAGGTGTGTAGTTATAAATTAAGTACCATAACTCAATAGGCTATGTTAATAGTCTTTCTGATTTTCTTCTGCTGGTATTCCTACAGCCCCATTTTATCACACTATCTAGAGTCAGAGTTTAGTTTTGAGTTTCTTTAAATCACTGCATTCAGTTTGATACATTGTAGAATCCAGACTTCATTTTTCTTATCTAAAACTGGCACATTTTCAGGGCAGTGCTCTATCTATGTAGAGGTAAAGCTGATTCCAAAATGACGTATTGTGTCCATTTGCAGGTATTTTCATGTATCCTCTGCTTTGTTCTTCAGGGAAGGGATTCAGGTGTAAGACCACTCCTAACAAGTAATGCCGCTTTGCCTCCAGCAAAAACCTGAGTGAATATTTTTAAACACATGTCAGGCAGTTTCCACAGCCGCTTGTGGCCCAGAAAACAGAACTTAAAAGTGGTGACCATTTGCATTGGAGTTTTTCCTCACTGACTTATGTGTATATACTTACATTTTAGCTTTGTTAAATAGAATCCTGGCATTTTAGTATGCTGAATAGAGTTTGACTTACACTGGCTACCCCGAAATATGGAATCTTTACTTCCTTGTCAATAAAATGTTTCCAGTCATACTTGCTAATTTTGCAATCACATAACTACCGCATCAGTGCTTAACTCTGATTTAAATAGGTCCACAGAATTTCATGATATTTAGTTCAGATGCTCAAAGATCCACATTGGTTTCAATTTCCTGCTGCTTTTTCCTCAGGAAACTGGCCAGGGACAGGTTTTAAGAAATTAATACACATTCTACACCAATTCACACAAGAAATAAGTCAGTTTTCATAAGAAATCTTTGGGAATGCTTTGGAATAAATGTTGGGAGAGTTAGAGATTTTATTATTAACAAGAGTGCTCTGTATTTTACTCATGAAAATGATATTGTCCAGCATGTGACAGTCCTGATCTTATAACCTGAGATGATCCTACAACAAAGTCATTTACTTTCTAACAATGACCACTGTAATTCATTTAGCACAGGTATTTGTCAGAATGATTTATTTATAGTTCTTAAATATTTTTGGTTGATTGATTCTTCTTCTTCTTCTTTTTTTTTTTTTTTTTCCTTTTTTTGAGAGGACATGACCATCTGAAAATCCTTGGTTTGGACAGAGGCAAGGATAGTGAATTCTTTCCTCACCAGTCTTTATTTCCTGTTCCATTGCTTCAGGTTCTCACTTAGAGCACCTGCTTTCCTTCTGTTCTATTTCTCTTCTGCCCCTGTCTGTAAGCAATCTTATTGGCCCTATGAAAAGAAGTAAAGACTCAATGCACGAGGAATTTGCTCTTTTCTGTCTTCCTTATCTGGGACTGTTGAAGGACACAGTCTTCTGTTTTACATGCAGTGTGCTTCCTAATGTTGATTGACAGGAAGGGCTGTGTATATTTTTTTGGGTTCTCCTCCTTGAATTCCAAACTTTCACAAAGAAAGTGAAGAGAGGACACCACATCTGAAGTGAAATTCTAGCTCAGAAGTACAAATGTTGATAGGAGCTGGAACAATCCTCTCCCTCCACTCCCTTACCCTGCTGTCCCCTGGTCTTCCACAGTTTCTCCTCATCATTATTTTTTCTGTCTTTGATGTTATCATTACTTCACTGTATCTTTTTCCTCTTAATAATTTCTCTGCTATAGGATGGTCTGAAGAAAAATCTTTAAACAGTCTCTGCTATCCTGCTAACAGTACATGTCTGGCAGTACCTATGAAAGGAGTGTTGAAAAAAAGGGGTGGAGAATTCATTGCCCAGGTACCTTAAGAAACCCATACATAGTACTAATTAGAGGTAACTTGTCCATAAGTTGTGTGATAACTTGTAAAATAATCCACAAGAGACACTTGGGAGAGCCCAGCATTATTTTGTTTTTGTTACTGGATCATACAGTAACTTCCCCTTCTGGGACTTATTCATCTTCATGACCCAACTATATAGTAGTCTTGTTACCTTCTCTGGGTCCCCTACTCTGGAAGTATTTACCAAGCAAACACCCACATTTTTCTGATCCTGTCATAAAGGGCAGCAGTAGTCTTGGAATGTTCCTCTGGATGTTAGCTCAGATTATACAGAATTCAATGGTTTTTTGGGGAGAGTTTAAACTTGTGGGTGTCATTCTTAAAACACAGGTGAGTTGGAAAGCTCATCCCCTGCAGTCCTACAGAAATACAGCGAGGATATATCCACCTGGCCAAGTGGTAAGCGTCAAGTGATCCTTCCTTCTCCTGCTATTTTATCCTGCTTTGGCCCTTTGGTGGTGGTGGCGGTAGATAGAACTAATTTAATTGATTTATTAGTGTTACTGCTTTAATCTGCTTATAACAAAATGATTCTTGAGTTAACCGGTTGTGCAGGGGCCTAAGTTCATGTGGGAACTATATGCATAGCCAGAAATCTTGACTATGGGGTGAACAGTGGAAACAGCAGAGCTTGCCATGGTTTACATGTCTGTTCTTGCAGCACAGAGCAACATGGACCTCCTTGTTTAAGTCCAGTGGTTGAACATTTTTCCAAACTGTATACTTTTTTGTTTGTTTTTGGATCATCATAAGTAGCATATACTGAAAATAATATGCATGTTTCTTGGAAGACTAGACTCTTTATAAAGCTATATAGGAATATACTTTACATTAAAAATTAATGCAGATCTTGTAGGATTAACAAATACTGTAGATATTCTCCAATGTAGTTTTTGTTGAAATCTTTCATAGGGCTTCTTACTTCAAATTACCTAATTTCTCATAGTGAGCTGTCTGAAAGGAATGTCCCTCAAAAGAAATGTCATTACACAGGCATGCTGACCACTGTGGTTTATCTACCTCAAACAAAAACTTGGTAACTAAATAGACAATAACCAATCAGAAAACATTTTACTTGCTCTTATCTTACTGCACATTTTCTCCATTTTGAAGTACTTTGCTTTTATGTAGAAATCAAATAAGTGAACATTCAGAGATGAACCAGACTGCCTCATGAGGCAGGCAGGCTCCGGTGGCTGGAAGTAATGAAGCACAGGATGGGGAAACAACTCGCTCCTGGGGGTGTGGACAGGGGAGTGGACCAGCTGATGACGTTGACGGCTTACTTTATGTCTAACTCTGGTATTCTGTGATGCTGAAAACAAATATTAAGATAAATATGTATTTTAACAAGACACACAATTTAATTGTATCATGAAATATATTTCAATATAGTCTTTTTTGTGGGACTTCTTACCAGGACCATTTATGGTATTTTTTTCATAAATATGAGTCAGATCCCCAGATAGTTTCTGATGGTTTGGAATTTGCTGGTGTTATATACATTGAGATGTACATTGTGGATTTAATCTCTGGTGAGTACTTTTATTTTTGAACTTTAATTACCATGGTGGTAATTATTCAGTTACACTCAGGGAGTCTGTATTTAGATTTTTCCAGTTCTCCAGAAAGCTTCCATAAATCTTAGTCTTATACTTTGCTCTTCTCTTCACATTTAAGACACAATGACTTTGTGATTATCTTTCACATAGCTGTTCTATCTTATCACACGAATTTCCAGCACCCCACATTCAGGACAAATACTGATGTCCCCTTAGTTATACACAGTGTCTCACCCAGAGGAGGCATGTTCTGAATGTTTGTCAATGAAGAGAATGATACATATTGCCTGTTAGGCTGCCAGTGAGACAATATCAGTATGCACCAGAGGACAGAATTTTGAATGACTTTGGTCATGAACTTCTAAAATTTTGAAAGTTTTCCCCCTTTGTCCTTTAAGCAAAGAGTCTAGGGAATTTTTTTAAAAAAGGGGGGGTGGTGCTGTAGACATGATGACATTCTTTTTTCCCCTTCCTCCTCATTCTCTACTTCCCTTCTCTTTCCTCTCCTTCCTCCTCTTCTTAATTTATTGAATGCTTACTGTGTGTCAGGTACTATGGCAGGATTATTTTCAGATATGCTTATGAAATGCAACTGTTAGAAAATATATGCTCTCCAAATGTCCCATTTCAGAGGAGAAGTTGCTAGAAGCCAGAGAATTGGGTAATTTCTCAGTAACAGTCCTCCAGGGGTGTTATGGGGCCCAAGGCTGGCAGAAGGCCCGGATCCCAGGTTGCTCAGTCAGTATCTGCTGTCCTCCTGAAGCAGTGAAGCTAGTGGTGCTGTTAACCCGAGACTACATTTTGCATAAGATCTGTGCTAGTAATACTGCCAACACTTGCATAGTGGCAGCAGTAATGTTGTGCAAATGTAAACTATTTAGCCACAGTCAGTAAAGATTAGATTTTCCCTTTATAAAATAATGTATACCCAGGAGGTTTGTTTCTAAAATTCAGTATAGGAACGTTAGAGCAAATGCTAATATTCTTATTTTATCTCCCTGATTCCCTCTGTTAATTCAGCGGCTATGTATTAATTGCATTTTCTTTTGTTGTTGTTCTCAGGTGTTCTGGGAATTTGCCTGGATTTTTCCATCAAATGCTGAATAATTTTCAATGGGATTACCTAGATTGTAGGATCATTCCAAGCCCCTGGTGTAGCTATGGCTGCTGTGAGTTACACATAGATGCCCTATCCTCCAACAGTGTGTTTTGACCTGTTCTTGTGTCTTCTTTCCTGGGGCCATGTGAAAAAGGAGCAGGATTTCTGATGGACATAAAGGTCTGGGCTAATAAAAGAAAGCTTCATTTTTGTTACTCCTTCCTGGGGCATTTGCACTTTAACAAGATTAAAATCCTAAGAACTCTTGGGAGGTATTTGTAGTAAAATAATAAGATAGTTTAAGCACTGATAATGACTTCACCCAAAATAATATCTTATGGAAGAATTCCAGGCATTAGGCTAAAGCTAGAAAACCTGATGAGGACATGTGATAAATCACTTCCTATAGATCTGATTAATTTTAGCCTTGCTTAATACATAGGTCTTTGAGCTTTCATACATGAACTTACTCTTCAATGAGAGCCTCAAAACTCTCAGTCTGGTAGAAAAGCAGAGGTTTTGGAGACAGACTGACTCAGTTTGTATTTTTGGTTCTGACATTTACTATTTCACTTTTCTAAGCTTCTGTACCCTCACCTCAAGTAATATCTACCTATTGTGAAAATTAAATGGCTAATGGTTATAAAATGCCTGATATTATGCTTGGCGTATAGTATATTATATTATAAATGTAAGTTCTCTGCAACAGATAAAGAATATGTTAATTGTATAACTGTACCCAAACCGTGGTATTATTTTCACTTTCCCAGAATGGGAAATAAGGGACATAGAACTTCAGACCATGAATTGTTGAATAGACTCATGGCATTTGTCTGCATAGCATCCTTCCTTTGGGGGGACTCCCTCCCCTTCTTCTCGAGGTCCTGTCTATCATGATGCCTTGCCTCCTGTCCTAGGACAGACATGTGGTCCAAGAAAAGTCACAAGTCTTCCTTAAGATTTGACAGAGGGTCATTCTAAGAATGAAGTCAGTGCCAAAGAAAGAAGTCTAATAAAGAAGAGGAGACACTCTGGTGGTAATGTTTGACCTGAGTTCAGCCATGCCTGGGACCTTCTTCCCTACACGAAGCTCTTCCCCTTCTTTTTTGCTTAAACTTGGTTGGGTTAAACCTTTATCACATGCAAAAGGAGGCTTTAGATGTTATTCTAGGAGATTCTCAAGGCATATAAGTAGAAATAAAATCTTAGCTCTGCCAAGTTGACTTCTAAGATCACTGTAGCTATACAATCAATGCACTGTTATTGCTACAGAGAAATTATATTTACTGAGTTTATTATATGACATGCTTCAGCATATATTCTAGAACAAATATACCAGACAGAGAAAAATGAAAGCTTTCTGATTTTTTCTGAGTCTTCATGTTCCATATTAGTTGTAGTAAAATTTAGCCTTACGTGAAGGTACTGTGAAGAATATTTCAGTGTACTTCAGTGAAGGTTGTTTGGCCTGTAATGTCTGTAAAGCTCTGAGCAGGTGTTTTAGAAGAAACAATGAGGAGGAGTTTTTCTTTTTTCTTTTTAATTTTCATGACTTTTAAAAAATAAATGTGTTGGATCCCAAAGTTTAGTATGCTCCAAAAGGAAAAAACCAAGGTGAAGGATCTTGATGCTTTCAGTCTAACAAGTGAAGCCACACCCTTTACATGACAGGAAGCTACATAGCTAAATCAGTGAAGGCCATGAAAGCAAGTTAATTACCACCAATCTTGGAAATTACCTTGAGCTCGTATCAAAGACAGGATTTACAACTTGACATCAACAAACAGTTTCTACAGCATACATTTTAGAAAATTAAATGTATTATGACAGGCATTTGTAATGGTAAGGTTACAAGTTAACAGACCTTGGGACTAGTAAACCTTTCACTTGCATAGTAAAGTTCTTTGCTCTTAGCAAATAGACAAAACCTGAACTGTATGGTGAAAATATAAAGAATAACTGGAGCTTGAACTTAAATTCTATGCTAACTTGGACATAAATGTTGTTAATTTTATTATACCCCAAAGACATTTAGGCTTACAATTTCCTGTTACTGAACACTCCCCCCAAAACTTACAAATTTAGTCATGGACATTTATAAACATAAGATTTATGTACAGAAAAATTATAGTACAAGGAGAAAGTGATGTACAAACAAGATGCTTGGAGTGGAGGGAGAGAAGGTATCACATCCTCTTGAGAGGTGGAGCTCACATGTTGGTGATGCTGATGGGAGATGGAAGAAGGAATCTGGTGGAAGGGGTGATGCATTTTTCATCACCTGTCTCAGATCCCACTGCCCCTTTTTTGTGGTCATATAGTTGTTGTTGGCATTTGTCATGGGAATTACATCAGGCTTCAATTTGATGCCTCACCTCCGACCATTGGAGAGCAAAAATAAAATTCACACTTTCTAAGCATTTTAAATGTTCAGCTAAAGTTAGCTGTAAAGTCAACCTTTTCAGGGATTTGAGTGATGTGTATGATAGCTCATAAATTGGCAAGCAGATAATTTGTTAACCTAAGACTTTCATCTAGATTTATTGTAGTCAAACATTATTTAGAGATCTCACAAGCTGGAATGTGTCCTAAGGGAGACCAGGACGGTGTGGCCTGGAAACCATATCACAAGAAGGGGCTGAAGGACTGGCTGCTTGGCTAGGGTGAGCAAAAGCAGAAGAATCAGTTGTTTTAATTTAGAGGGCTCTTTAATGTGGAAAGGAAAAGAGTTGTTTAAC